CGCCAGCGCCATAGGCTCCCGCGCCCCCGGTCCCCGCTCCGGCCGCGGAGCCCCCGCCGTAGGTGTAGGCGCCTCCGACCAAACAGCCAAGGCCATATTCTCCGTCCTGAAGGCGCGAAGCAGGCCCCATGCAGCCACTCTGGTCCGGGCTGTTGAGGATCTGGTCGATGCCGAAGCTGATGGGCTCCGCGTGGCCCGGGTGGAGGTGGTGCGGACCTAGGTGCTCCATGCTGGCCCGGGCCCTGGCCCCACTGGGGGGTAGGGGGCCCCGGGCGGCGACGCTCGCCGCCCTTGGCTCCGGGCGCAGCGAGCAGGGGCGCAGAGGCAACAGCGGCTCCTGGATGCGCTGAGACTTGGAGGCGAAGTGCGCAGAAGGGCTAAAGTAGGGGGGAGGGGAGGGAGAGGGGGCGCCGTACTCTTTCCCTCTCTGGCTTCTCCTTCCCTTCTCCGGCTGCTCGCTGGCTGTTGACTCTGGGACATCAATCACCGGGCGAAAAAGCCCGGTGCGAGCGAGCCTCGCCGTTTCGGCCGGGTCTCTCCATTGGCTGTGCGCGGAGAGGAGCTGGGTGAATGACAGCGCGGGGGAGGGGAGGAGAGGGGGAGAGAGGCCAGGAGCCGAGACAGACGCAGGAGCCTGAGACAGAGGGACGGAGACCAGGGCTCAGAGTAATTCGTGAAGAGAGAGAGAAGAGGAGAACGACGAGGAGAGGCTTAAAAGGAAAAAGAAAAAGAACAGGAAGCGGCCATTGACAGAGATGGACAGACAGACGGACCCAAGGAGGGGGAAGTCACAGCCTTCCTTCCCGCCTAGCGATAAACAACCCCTCACTTTGAACTGGGCAAAAGGAGCTCAGCCCACCAGGCCTCTGGGGAAGGGGTGTCCCTGCCCAACTGGAGAATCTCCCCAAGGGCTCAGCTGGGAAACACCTGTCACTCAACCAGGCGATTTACTCCAAACTTCAAGTCCGGCTTGTTAGAAAGTAGAAGACTGTCTATTCCTTAGGTATGGAGCCCAGGCCCTGAGGCAGGGCGATTAGTTCAGGCTTGTCCTTCTTTAAAACATGGGCCTATGAACAGCTGGCTATATGCTGTTATAAAAATCAGCAACTATGCCAACTCAGCCTTTTTGGGAAAATTAAGGAAGGGAAGATTTCCTAAAAGACAGGCACAAATCAAGGGAATTGGATTGGGGCCTACTGTCAGGGTTCTCATGCCTCAGATACCCCTTTCCTTTTAAATAAACAGATGCCTCAAGAAGCAACTCCTACAGTTTGAATAAATTCAACCAGATTGCTTTCCACCTAGCAACTCCCCAGGGCTGGCTATTCCAAACAAGAAGCTTTTGGACTGCGGTGAGGGGAAGGAGTTATTTTCCTACTTTTGGAATCTTAGGATGAAGGGCCTCGAGGCTTAAGGCAGTGGGGGGCTGGGGCTGGTGGGACTAGAATCAGAGAAGTGTATTCAGGATAAATTTAGGCCTTTTCAAAGTTTTGCCTGTGGATGCCTGGCCGAGAGCCCAAGAGAGAAGGAGGAAACTCCCTTTTTCTGCTTCCTCTTTCCCTTCTCCAGTAGAGAAAGTTCTGCTACCTCCTAGGAGTCAAGCTCTGGGAAAGACACAGGTTATATCACTTGGAATCTATTTCTGGTCTATTTCAGGTCACTTTTAGATTCAACCTTCAGGGAGGGCCTGTCTCTATCAGGCAAGATGCTAGACAGCCAGGAAGGCTTACATTCTACTTATCAAGTCTCACTGTAATCTATTTGCTTTGGCCATGTCTGTCACCTCTACTTGAAGAGATGTCCTCAGAGGCAGGGAGTGGCTTGCTCATCTCTGTTCCCCTCTATGGAAGACAGTCCCAAGCAAATATGCTCATCTTGGATGAAGAATGAATGAATGAATCTCCTTATTCAGCACATGTTTATTGAATACTTACTATATATCAGGCACTATTTTAAGGTACTGGGGGCACAGCAGTAAACAAAACAAAGTTTCTGACCTCATGCAGCTTACATTCTATAGAGGAGTCAGACAACAAACAAAGAAGTAAATACAATAAGCCAGATGTTAATAGGTATTATTATGAACTCTACACCAATACTTTGAGATGTATTATCCCTGTTTTATGGACATGAGGAAACCAAATTTCAGAGAGGCTATGGTGGGCATAGATCAAGATGGAGAACCTAGATTTGACTTGCTTTTGTGAGTTAGCCTGGAAATCCAGCTGCTGGTTGGAAGCTCACCTGTATGGGGAAAACCTTGTCTGAGCTCCAGCCAGGTGGACAAGGCCCACTCAAGACAAAGCCAGATGTGAAGTTGATAGTTGTTTGTAAACACTAAGCAGGAACATAAGGAGAGGTCTCCACTCCCCACCCACCCAAAACAGATACTACATCCCTACCCAGGAGATTCCATAAGTCACTTTGGAAGTTGTTTGAACACGAAGAAGTCTCCTTTCTGCTTCTTATCTTGAGGGAACTAAAGCAGAAATAAACATAAATGTTTACTGAGAAACTGCTATGTGCCAGGTACCACATCACACTTCTCTCATTTAAGACTCACAACAACCCTGTGAAACTAAAAGGAATGATCCAATTTTTTTATAGTTAAGAAAATTGAATAAGTGTTCATGGCAGTATTATTCATAACAGCCAAGAAGTGAAAACAATTTAAATGTTATCTGCTGATGAATGGATAAATGAAATGTGGTATATCCATATGACAGAATATTATTCAGCCATAAAAAGAATAAAGAGGAAGTGCTGGTCCACGCTACAACATGGATGAACCTAGAAAACATGCTAAGTAAAAAAGCCAAATACAAAAGACCACATATTATATAATTCCATTTATATGAAATGTCCACAATAGGCAAATCCATAGAGGCAGAACATAGAGATTAGTGGTTGCCAGGGGCTGGGGCGTGAGGAATGGAAATTTACTGCTAAAGGATACAGAGGGTTTTTTGCTTTGTTTTGTTTTGTTTTGTTTTGTTTTTTCTTGGTGTTGTAAGGCTGTGCTCTATTCAACTGAACTAACCAGCCAGCCCTTTGTTTTGTTTTTTAAAAGATGACCGGTAAGGGGATCTTAACCATTGACTTGGTGTTGTCAGCACCACGCTCACTCGGTGAGCAAACCGGCCATCTCTATATGGGATCCGAACCCGTGGCCTTGGTGTTATCAGCACCACACTCTCCCGAGTGAGCCACAGGCCGGCCCTTGTTTTGTTTTGTTTTTGAGTGATGAAAATATTCTGGATTTAGATAGTGGTGATGATTGCACAACTTTGTGAAAATACTAAAAATCAATGAATTGTACATTTTAAAGAGCTGAATATCATGGTATGTGAACTATATCTCATTTTTTTAAAAAGATGAAAACTGAGATGCAGCAAGGTGATCAAACTTGCCCAAAGTCCCTTAGACAGAAGACGATTGATCTAGGATCCCCAAACCTGGACTATTTTCCCTGTATGAGGCTAAAAACTACAGGGAGGGGCAGTACATCTTCCTTGGAGGCTGGGTCCCAGTGGCCTTGCTCCCTTTAGTCAAACCACAGTTCTGACTGCTGCAGTTAAAACACTGTCTTTCTAGGTTATCCTCAGAACAACTTCTCTTTGCCATTCTCTGGCCCATTCAAGAAACTACTCAAGAGCTCCTAACACACTCCTCTTTCCTCTCTTCTTCCCCCTCCACACACATCTTTCCAGCTCCTTCCAACCTGCCTGTTCCAACCCTTTAGAAATCTGCCTGACCTACCTCTTGAACTCTTCAGATGTGGCACCAGTTGTCCAGGACACCTGGGAGGAGACTTCACCCTTGCTGGCCCAGTCTAAGGTTAGCAAAAGTCACAGCTGCCTAGTGGCCCACTAAGACTGTCGAACTCTTCTCATCAAAATCCAGCAACCCAGGAATATTCTGACTTTCCCCTTCCCTCACAGCTGCTCACCTGACTGATCGCTTCCTTACTTTCCCCTCACCTCTCCTGCTTATCAGAGTCAACTTCTATCCCAATCCAGTCCCAAGATGCTGGGTTCTGTGATTCTACTTGGCCTCAGCCTTTGACTTCTCATGGGGTAGTTGCCAGGGGCCAGGGCTGTCCTCTCATTCCCTTCCTTGCCTGGAAAGATTAGACCAGAGGGTCAGGATTTGTTGGGCTCTGGCCCCCACCCCCTCTCCCTGAAGCAGTGTAACCTGCAGGTTGGAAAGTTTTCAGAAACAGGGGACGAGACTCACACAGAGCTTATATTCAGTGCAGCTTCTGTGTTCCCACAGCACTTTTGCAGAGTAACCCTCTTAGGAAGGAGGAGGGAGGGAAAGAAAGCAGGACTTGCAGAGCACCTGCAATGTCTTAGAAGTCTTCAATCCCAGTAGTTATCTCTTCTCTCAGTTTCCAATAATCCTGTGATGTTGATTTTGTTATCTCCACTTAACAGATAAGAAAACCGAGGCTCTGAAAGCTGGAAAGAGCAGAGACTGGACTCAAGTACTGCTTTCCTGACTCCACTCATTGCAAGCTGCTCCCTCAACCCTAAACTTGGCTCTTGTATTGCAGGTGTATCTTGCACATGTCTAGGTGAGTTGCAGACCCTTCCCTCCAGTCCTGAGGCCACCTCATAACACACTCCCTTCCAGCACCATCTTCCCCTTGCCTGCAGAATAAAGTAGTGCCTCCAATTAAAAGAGGAGCAGCTGTGGCTGGGGCTGGGGCTGGGAGAGGAGAAAAGGAAGAGCTTGGCCCCAGGAGAGAAGCCCCATTGGATCCCACACTGCTCCCTCCCCCCTCTGGGAGAGACCCCTGGGCCAAGGGCTGTCCTTTTGCTTAGGGGTATGTGTGGGAACTTAATTACTTTGTGTTTGTGGGACTGTGCATCCACGAACGGAAAGCTGGGTGTGAAAGTGTGTGACAGTGAGGGGTGAGAGGGCTGTGCGGATGTCCCAAGCATGTCTTTAAGGAATAATTTTTAAATTATTCAATGAATATTATTGAGTGTCTAGTATGTATCAGGCACTGTGTTAGGCTGTTGGGATACAACTACAAGCAAAATGTATATTGGTAAGAGGGGTAGGAGAGAGGAAGGGAGTCTGGGTTGTTTTTCCAACTGATTTGCTGTGTGAGAATGTGCATGTCAGTGAAGATGCAAGTGCATATGTGTGTTTTCTGCAACAGGAATTAGAGCGTGTGTCTCTGTAACATGAGGATAGAACTCCACTCCTTTACCAGTTCTC